GCGCCTTCTGTGATCGGCGCGCTCTTCCCGTTGTGGGCGCCGTGTTCGTGGGGCTTTCACGTCCGGGATCTGCCCGTGGTCCACCTGCTCGTTTTCTTATCGTCGTCAGTGCGTTGTGATGCGTGTTTGGGTATCAAACGGCCGTCTGCCTGGCGTCCACATTCCAGGGCGTCGGTTTTGGTGGAACGTTTGGGTCAAGTCAATAGCGAAACATTGCAATTCATCTAGCAAAAAACGCCACATAATGTTTAAGAACAACTGACCGGGGCGGGGCGGGGGAGGTCGAGGATTGATGCAGGCCTCCCAGATGGGATCCGAACCTCGACCCGCGTTATTCGATCTTCTGCGCCCCCCTAGACTCCCTAGACCCCTCCCAGATGGGGTCCGAATAGATGGGGTCGTAGGATCGCGCCGCATCGCCGATGCATCGCGGATGCGTTGACGATGCATCGGCGACGTCGGCGGTGCATCGGCGCCACCGGCGCGAGGAAAATCGGGCTCCACATCGAGCCGCATCGCCGATGTTTTTGGGTCGGCGCTCGGAGCCCCTGGGGACGACTCCAGTGCCACCTCGAGAGCGCTCCGCGTGTCAGGGCGGGAGGGTCCAGCGCCGATCCAAGACATCCGCGCGGAGCCCTGACAGTTTATTTCCCAAGCAGCGCTTGCAGTTCAGGGTTCGTATTACTCTTCGAAGACACTAGGCCTGACGGTCGGTCTGGCGGCTATGTGGCCGCCGTCGCCGCCCTGTCGCCGCCTCGTCGCCGCCCGTCGTCTGGGTTTGCTGGTCGGTCCAGCAGCTATTTCGCCGCCCCGCCGCTGCCTCGTCGCCGTCCGTCGTCTGGGCCTGCCTGTCGGTTTGGCGGTTCTGTTGTCGCGTATGAGGGTCGGAGATGCAAGGGGTGGCGGGCCCTCACCATGTACGTTTTGCAAGCGCAGGCTCGCGGGCGCGCCTTCGGCGCGAGGCCGAACACTCGGGCATTGAAGCTCCGCTGTTGTACGTCCTTGGCTCCGCAGCCGCGGCGGGCGACGTCGGCTTCATGGCGCTAACGTCCAGCGAAGCCAGGGACGCGCGGAGGCAGCGAGCGCGTGGCGACCGCGCCAACGCACCGAGTTTTTCGCGGCTTCTGCGCCACGGGGCGGAGCGACGCGCCGTCCGCTCGCCGGGCAGAGCGCGTCGACGCGGCCGCCGCCATTCGTCGCGGCGGGCGGCGACCTCGGCCCCGGCGCCCCGACGCCCAGCAACGCCGGGGAGAAGCAGAAGAAGCTGGCGACCGAGAGCGCCGATAGTCGCGCAGTCTAGATGGCGGACGTCGGCATGCCCCTCCACGACGGCGCGGCTGTCTCCGCGCGCGGCGACAGGGCCCCCACCGTGGACCGGGCGCAAATCGCGGCCCACTTCGACCAGTCCGCGGGCTACGCTGCCATGGCGGGCGGCTTCGGCTTGCAGGAGATAGCGCCCAGCAGCGCTGCCAAGACGTAGCGGGCGTCGGCGGCCCTGATCGCCACCGTTCGCCGGGCCACGATTGCGATCGTCGGCATTTTCAGCCGTGACAACTTGACCTGCTCCACGTGCGGCGTCCGCGCCAACGCCCCGAGCTCTTCCTGGCCTTCTGCGCCGCCAGGCAGAGAGACGCGCCATCGGTTCGCTGGGCCTAGCGCGTCGCTGGGGCCGCCAAGACCTGTTTGGCCCGGCGCAGACCTCCAGCATCGCGAGACGGTCAGTCGCCTACCCGGGGATGACTCACAGGGAACATTTGCGACGATCAGTCGCCTACTTGGAGATGGTGCACCCGCCCTCCTCCCCACCCGTTTCTCAGATTGAATTCGCGACGATCAGTCGCCTGCCAGGGGGAGATGCACTCAGGACGCACGCGACGACCAGTCGCCTACCTGGGAAGGATTCGCACCTTGCACTTGCGGCGGTCAGCCGCCGACGTGGAGACGTTGCCCCCCTTTTCCGCCCCTCCCGCATCTCAGAGAACTCGCGACGATCGGTCGCGCGCCTGGAAAGGATGTCCCCCTCCATCCCCCCCTCCCTTTCCACTGGGGACTTTCGCGACGATCAGTTCATTTGGATATCGCGGCCCCCCATCGGAGGAGGTGGGGGGGGCGGCGCCGTGCTGCCGTTGTCCTGGCACGCGCAAGTCCCCAATGCGCCGTCAGCCGTCGCCGGTTGTCCTGGCGCGAGCAAGGCCTGCCCCCCCGACGACGACGCCGACGACGCCGGCGCCGACGCCGACGCCGACGCCGACGCCGACAACCTGGGGACAGAGCAGGCGTTGGAGCAGAAGCCAGGGGCGCCAGACGAGCAGGAGCAGGCGACCACCCGCCCGCGCACTTCCTCGACTGACCCTACATCCCCGCGCGGCCAGTGCCTCGACGGAGACCTGGGAGACGTGCTGGTCTTCTCTGGCAGAGTCCCGCCACCCACGCTGACTGACGCCGACGCCAACGCCGACTCCGACGCCGACGCTGACGCCGACGCCGACGCCGACGCCGCGCCGACGCCGACGACGGCGCCGATGCCGACGACGCCGAAGCCGTCGGCGACGCCGACGCTGCCGCCGACGCCGATGACGACGACGACTCGACGACGACGACGACGACGCCGGCGACGCCGACGCCGACGTCGACGACCTGGGGACAGCGCAGGCGTTGGAACAGCTGCCGGGGGCGCCACACGAGCAGGTGCAGGCGACCACCCACCCGCGCAATTCCTCGACTGACCCTCCAGCCCGTGGCAGCGACGCACGGACGGACACGCCCCATCCTGACACCGCCCTTCCCCGCAACAGTGCGAGTCCCAGCGCCGAGGAGCGACGGCATTGTGACCAGCGTGCGCCGCTGGCGCGTCTGCTTGGAAGCGGCGGGCAGGAAACCTGGCCTGGCCCCGAGAACTGGCGACCTTGCCCAGCAACGTCGACGGCCTGGCGGGGTTCGACAGGCGACATACGACAGACGGCGAGCACAGCGGCAGCAGAAACAGCAACGCCTGGAACCAGCGAGCCGCCGCGCCCGACGGGGGCGGGCGGCCTGGCGCCCGCCGGCGGTTTGAACCCCAGCAACCCGACATGGGGAAGCAGCTTTACAAAAGCAATATTGAAGGCGCGCAGTGTGGCGTTTACGGGGAGCACCCAGGAAAACAAATCAAGCGACTCCAAGTGACCCTGGGAGCGATGTTCGCAGGCGCTTGGCACGCGTTCGTCCAATAGCACGCGCCGCCCGGCTCTGGAGCGGCACTCGACCCGCTCCGGCACGACCAGCTAACGGGCGTCAGCTTCTTGGATTCCTTCCGTCACCGCATAGGGGGCGCGCGGTCCATGAGCGACGCGCTGCGCCTCGGGGTCGATTGGAAACAGCTGCGCGAGCAGCACCCGCGGCGCGGCGATGGCGCGGGCATGGAAGGCGGCGCCCCGCCGCGGAGACAGGCGCCCTTGGTCCAGGCTAGCAGCCGCGCTCCAGGGCGGCCACGAAACCTAGGGGAGGAGCGTTCCTGGGCCTAGCATGACTTCCCGCCTCGTTTCCTGGGGTTCTCCGATACTCTCCTCCACTGCCCATGCTTTTGCTGCGATCAGCTGTCCCTGGGGGTCGCCATCGCATTCCATCCTGTCCACCGTGCATTTGCAGCGATCAGCTGCCGCTCCTCATCATCCCTTGTTTCGCCACCCCCGGCCCTGTTTCAAAGCTTGCAGCCGCCCCGCGGGCAGCCCAACACGCGCTGCCCCTAGTCGCGCTGCAGCTCCTTGCTGGCGGAAGGTGGGTCCTCTCCCTGCTCAGCATGCGCAGTCAGTCTGCCTGTGCTTGCCCTCGCCTGGGGGCCTCTGACCTGCCCGCTGGAGGGCGCAGTCGGGCCTGCCCCCGGGGAGGTCCCGGAGCGGCCGCAGCCCCACCGTCCTCCGTTCCTTTCTCGCGGTGCCCGTCTCCTACGCGATGGCGTTCACGCGCGCGTTCTACACAGTACCTGGAGGCCGTTTTCTTCCACGACTGCTATTCACCCGCCGTTTTCATTTTCGTTTCGTTGTTGCTTGCGCTACTCCTGCTGGTCCGTTCGCCGTTCTACGTCGTGGAGACCTATTGGATCCTGTGCTACGCGTCCGGCAAGGTACCCGGGGAATCGTTGGCCCGCGTCGCCCTTTCCTTCCTGGTCACCGCCGTCCCTGGCAAGTGTGGCGCTCACTTCCGCTCGCTACGGCCATGAGGGCGGTCATTCGCCCATCTGCACAGGCGTCTTCTCCGGCATCTTCGTGGACGTGCTTTCGGTGCCAGCGCGATGCCTCCCGCACCATCATGGCTGCGTTTCGTGTTGCTCCGCTCTGTGGCGGTCGCTGTTCAATTCGGTGGTTTTTCCTTCGCTACGGCGCGGCTCGCCCTAGCTTGCTTGGCGTTGGATTTGTTTCGCGCGCCCGCGTGCCAAACGCTATCCACGTGTAGCCCACCCAGACACGATCGGAGGTTTTCTTGAATTTTCGTGGAGGCTATATTGAGCCATGCTCGGCTAGAGGTTGTCGGGCGCTATCCCGAGTCATGATCAGCTATTTTGTGTCATCCTGATGTTGCGTTGAGGCCTCTTGGAGGTTTGTCGGAGGCTATATTGAGCAATGTTCGGCCTCCTGGGACCATTCCGGGGGTGGGAGGAGGAAGAGGAAGAGGAAGAGGAGGAGGAAGACGAGGAAAATGACAAGGAGGAGGGGGAAGGGGGACAGGGCGATGACAAGGGGGGAAAATCGGTCTTCGCACACACACACACACACACACACATATATATATATACATACATACATACATACATACATACACGTGTGTGCGCGTGTGTTGTGAGAGGTTTTTGAAGGACGACCAAGGCCATCTCACCGGATCTCTTGGTATATCTTTGGGGTCTTTTGGGGCATTCATGGGGCCCTGATGAGACTCATGTTGGGGGTCTTGGACGGCGTGGGGTCGCTATGCCCCCTCGCGTAAAACCCGCATTGTTTCGTAGCTCACTGTCCTCTTCTTCCCGCAGTCCCTATTGGCCCGGGTGCGCCCGCTCCGCGGGCCCCCATCGGCGACGACGGCGCTCGCTCCGCCGCCATGGGTTCCACGCTCGTGACACCCGGCGCGCGTGAGGCTGGCATGGTTTGAGCGGGGTCGGCCACGCGCAGAGGGGGGGGGGAGGGGGAGGGGAAGGGTGCACTAGAAGGGGGGAAGGGAGGGGGGAAGGCTGTTTCAGAGGTAGGGGAGGGGGAGGGGGGAGAGGCTTCTTATAAGCACCCCTGCTTCTTGGAAGGCGCGGGCCTTTTTTGAGGATACAAGGCCGCCGCCTTCTGGGAAGCAACCCCCCTTGGGAAGCCGTGCCCTCTCCCCCCCTGCCCCCCCCCCCCTGCGCGACGCCGACGGAGGCTGGCCGCGCGGACCTCCCAGGGTTCCCTCCGTGGGCCCCCTCGCCGGCGGCCGCGCCGGCGGACTCCTGGTGGCACCACCGCCTCTGCTCCGCGCCCGAGCCCGCTCCGGACCGCCGAGGAAGAAGCCACTCCCGTCGGGGGCGGAAAAGAGGGGGGTGATGACTAGGGGGGGGGGGGATATCATGGCGGAGGCCATGATTTTTCCCCAGATTTCGCGGCGCCTCTTCTCATTTCATTACATCCCTGGCCCCCCCGCTGGGCCGCGCACGTGTCGCCGGTCATGATCTGCACCCCCCCCTCTTGGACACCCCCCTCTTGGCCGCTCCCGATTCCGAAACATCCCGGAGGTTGATAGACCTCCTACCCTGACACGTCGATCAAGGAATTGACCGTGTTCGGTTCGCGTGTGGGCGTCGCGGCCGTCATTTCTGCGGGTCCAGGTCCGTCGGTTTCGGTCTTCGGCCGTTTTCATTAAGGGGAGGTTTACTAAAGGGCGGTTTGTCCACCGCCGAACATCAAAAATGTCAGGCGATCGCAATCATGGACCAATCTAGGGCTCCTGGATGGGGTCCGAGCAGATGAGGTCGAAGAGTCGCGCCGCATCGCCGATGCATCGCCGAGGCGGCTCGATGGGGAGTCCGATTTGCTTCATGTCGACGTCGCCGATGCATCGCTAATGCATCGTCGATGCATTGGCGATTCGGAGCGATCCTCCGACCCCGTTTACTCCGACCCCAACTAGGAGGCCTCTAATCGAGGGGGCGTGGATTAGCGACTGGCCCCGTTTCCATGGGAAATCGCGGATCTCCGCCGCCGAACGAGGCGGCACCGGCAGCCTCTTGGAGAGGGCACCTCCCCAGGTCCATGGACTTGGCGACCGCACGCCAAATCCACGGACCGTGAACCCATGTCTGCGCGCCCCCCGAAACCTGTTGCGTAAACATGAAATGTTCGGAGCTCCGCGCGGACTTGCTTGGACTGGCGCTGGGCCCCCCTCCCTGGCGCGTGCCAGGGGCGGCGCTGGAGGCGCCGCCAGGGGGACCCCGCGCGGAGATCCGAAGATTCATGCTTATGCATTCTTTCGGGAGGGAGCAAAACACAGACGCAATTCATCGCCGATCCCCAGGAAAATATGGGAGGTGGGGGGGAAGACAGCACCCAGAAAACATGGGAAAATAATTATGGTGAATCCTTTTTCTCCAGGAAGAGCTCGTGGGCGGCGGGGTCGAGCCCCGAGTCCCACAGCCCGGACCCGCCCTGTCAGAGCCAGCGTCGCCACCGCCGAAGGTGACGCCGTCGACGCCAGCGGGGTCGAGGCTGACGCCGCCGCAGCGGGCACAGAGCAGGAGGAGCCCTTCGGTCATGGTCAAGCGGTCCACAACGCAGACGACCGTGTCACGGATGCGGTCGTCGACCCACGAACCTTCGACTAGTTCGTCGAGATCTTCGCCCAACGCATCTTGCAGCTCAAGGCTGGCACGCATGGCACGCCGCGTGGAGGCAGCAGCCGTGGAGAAGTTCCTCCAGGATCGGGAGGGAAAAAACACATAATTACAGGCACAATGAATCGTCGACTCCCCAGAAAATAGGGGAAAATAGGGGAAGTGGGGGCGAAGACAGAAACCCAGCAAACATGGGAAAATATAGGGAATCCTGCTATTTGTGTGCATTTCTTTGTGTGTCCTTGGGCCCCTTCGCAGGAGCACCGCTTCTCGGGCATCGACCACTGCCGCCGCGCGGGCCGCTGGCCTCTGTCGCGCCGGTGCTGCCCGCTGTCCCTGGCGGCCCAGCGGGGCGACGTGTCGACGGTGATCCTGCTGCTCAAGCAGGGGGCGGACCCTCGGAGGAGAGAAAGGTACCCATGCCTCTACAGTCGGGGCCCTGAAGAAGGGACCCTTTTCGTTGGAGAGGGGCTCGGCGTTCCTTGATTGTTCTGCAGTTTGCCTTCAGATGTCCTGAGGTTTTCCATGGGAAATCGAAGTTCAGCGTATGGGAGAAAGGGGCCCCGTTCCTTATTTAGGGTTCCTTAGGTCAACGCCCCGACTGTACCCTTCGCCCGTTTTCGCGCCAACAATGGGCAACGGAAGTACCTAAGCTTACACAACATGTGTAGCGCCGGTTCCGCTGTGTGCTTGCCCTCCTCTCCTCCTCCCTCTCCGTTCCTCCGCCGCCCTTCCCCCTTGCCTCCCCCTTCCCACTGGTCGTAGCAAGCGCGTGTGTGCCAGTCTGACGTTACCATTTTCGCGAGCGTGTCAAAGGCACAGCTCGATTTGCCTATGCGTCCTCTCGGGTGCACGGCTTTTGACTGACTGACCGACTCGGAGGCTCTCGTCGCCACCGCTGGATTCGTCTCGAAACCCGGGAGAGGTCCGGGGAGTAGCGACATCGGCACTTTTTGGTCTCCCCAGGACCCTCTGCTTCCGCTGACGCTCCTGCGCCGGCAGCAGGCGACCGGCGCCTGGCAGCAGGACTCGGGCGGGAAAGAGTGGCCCAGACACGAGCGATCGCCGAGCACCTGGAGAAGATGGGGAAAGATGTAGGAAGTAGGGGGGAAGACGAGAAGCCCAAAGATGCGAGGAAATAGGGGGGATGCTATGATTCCTGGGCGCGTACTTGCGCGTCCCAGGGCGCCTTCGAGGACGCCCGCCGGCTCCTCGAGAGGGCCGCGGGGGAGACGGGCCGGGGGCTGGCCGCGGAGTCAGGGGCCCTGTGGAGCATCTTCCACGTCGTGGACGCCATTAGGGGGCCACACGCGGAGCCTATAGCCCCTACCCCCCACGCTTCCTGAGGGGGGGGGCGGGGCTCACTTCGCTCGGGAGCTCCCAGACGAAGTGAATCCCACCCTAGGGTTTAGGGTTTCGGGTTTAGGGTTTAGGGTTGAGGGTTTAGGGCTCGCGTGTGGCCCCCTAGCCATGGGCCGAGAGCGGGAGGAGCCGATGCTCCGCGAGCTGGAGCGCAGCGATCCCCTGCTGCGCCGGCCTGGGGCGCGGGCGGCCTGATCGGAGGCGCGCAGGCGGTGGGAGGAACACGGGGCTCGGGCCGGGTGGAAGGGGGGGATTGGGAAAGGACGGGCTACGAAATCTGCGGCACGCAGCCGGTTTCGGCCTCACCGAGGGGCCCTTTTCCTCGACACATGGCCGCCTCCGGCGCCGGGAGGCGCCGGGAAAGTCAGCTATACGCGAGCTGCTTCCCAGACCCCCCCCCTGCGCGATCCCCCCCCTTGTCGCCCGGTCCGAGAGGTGCCATGTGAAGTCGGGCCCGTCGCTCCAGAAGGGGGACATTCAAGAAGTCGTGGAGCATACATAGTCGCTGGTTTCCTATTTTGTCAAGGCAAAGTGCGATTTCCATTCTTATTTTTTCCAGATTTCATGATTCAAGGTTTACGAGGAACATTCACGATAGATTCAAGATAGTACGATTTACGAGGAACATTCAAGAATTCTGGGCTGTCTTTTCTATTCTTCAAAGCAAAGTGCGACGTTCGCTCCAAAGCTCCGCTTGGAGGAGGACGTTCCCGACCTGCAGGTACCGATGCCGGTGCCGCTATGCTCGGAGAGGTCTGGGGGGTCCCCAGACCTCTCTGGAGGCGCGGTCCGGCGCCAGAGTCTCGGGGCGAAGCCGGCGGCAGCCGCGAGGGCCCCCCCCAGGAGGCCCAGGAGGGCGGGCACGGCGGAGGGGCGGCGGCATCGGTGTGCTTTTTCCTCCCGCGAGACGGGGCGGCGTGGCAGAGCCGAGTGCGGCCCGGTCCGCGCGGGGGCTTTCCAGGGCCGTCCTCCGTATGCGCAGCGGCGCCGGAGAGGCCCGCATGAGGCCGGCGGGGCGGGGGTATGTTTTGGCATCGCTCGGACGTGTGCATTTTTCCTTCGGCAAAGACCATCGAGGAGCATCCTTGATCATTTGGCGAAGCAACCACGCACGAAACCGAAGAAAGCACAGGGACTGGGCGTCCGAGCGATGCCCAGATGTGCGGCGTGCTGTGCAGGTTCTCCGAGGCAGCATGGTGGTGCTCTGGGCAGGCCAGATGTTCGGAGAAGGAAGAGGAAGCTCGGAGAAAGAAAAGAGGAATATCGTTCTCCGCGACAGCGCGTGAGAGAAGGAAGAGGTGCCCATACCGCCACCCTTGCCTCGTCGTGTTCGCCTTTCCGGGCCTTCCGGAAGTCCCTCGTCGCCACCGCTGGATTCGCCTCGGACCCACCCTGGGAGAGGTCTGGGAGTAGCGGTATGGATACCGTTTGGCTTCTCACGAGACGGTGTCGGAGGGTCGCGCCGCATCGCCGATGCATCGGCGATGCGGCGCGATTTCGAGCCCGATTTTCTCCGCCTCGACGTCGTCAATGCGTCGCCGATGCATCACCGATGCTTCGCCGATGCATCGGCGATGCGGCGCGACCCTCCGACCCCAGCTACTCGGACTCAATTCGGGAGGCCTCCAGAAATGGACTCAGGACAGGGTTTACCACCCGTCCTTTATCCATTACTTTCTCCAGCTGTGACCCACCAAAGTGTGAGGCGAAGTATTGGGCACCTGTCCCGCCTCAGCGCACAGGTTTCAGGCTCAAGTCTTGTGAATCTGTCCCAGCTTGGCTAACATAGCGCAGTGCTTCGGAGGAGCGAAATAGGGCACCGGCACCACCAGCTGGGCAACCCTTGTTGAAAGATTCTTTGGTTCCTCTGCGAGCTGGCGATTGGAGATGTATCGAGGAAGACGCCGAAATCCGGTGACTCCGCACCACAACGACGACCCTCCCCTTATCCTTGACGATGGTGGTGTTGATGTCGTTTTTCTTTCGTCCATGCATCCGGGCACTCGTCTGCTGTGTCAGCCAGTAATGTGATAAGCGCATTGTCTGGCGTTCCCAAGCTTTGTCTATATTCGGTTGCCTGCGGCAGGTCCCGCCACCGTGCCAGCCCAGTGCTCTCGGAGGCAGCTTACCTCTCGAGGGCGGCAGGGAGCCGCAAGGTCTGAACCGAGCGGCGATTGAAAGAATGGGCAGAGTGGCGTCTCGCGCATACCCTGGATCATCTGAGGTCGTCCTGGGGCGGATAGGGAAGATGACGAAACCGATGCCGAGGAGCGGGGACAAGGAGAAGGGGGAGGCATAATCTGACGGAGGAGAAGGACGATGACATCATCGGAGGAGCATGAAGTATTGATATTGTTAGTTTTCCAGATTTTCAGGTTTTTCTGTTCTCCCGCGCGGGCTCCAGGGACGAATGGTCGAGCGCATTCCGTCGCGCAGGTTCTTTGCGTGATGTTCGTGGTGCATGTTTCGCGCATCGGAGCGCCCTCGAAGATTCCAAACTGCATGCTGTGTTGCTCTTGGGGAGTCCGCGAGTCGCAGCTGCCGTGGCGCTGTTTTCGAGGTTCGAGTGCTGTTCGCGGGCGCAACGCGCGGCGCGCGCTGTTCCCAATCGCGCGCGCCGCGGCGCGTGAATCAGCCGGCCGCGCCCGTCGGACCGCCCAGACATTATTTCTGGATTGTAGAAAGTGTCAGAACACGCTTCCGCTTTTTTTGCGCAAGCGGTTCCGGAATTTTTCAAAAAGGATCCAGATTTTTTATAAAAGAAGAGAAAAAATTAAGGGTGGAATGCGCCCGCCGCGCAGGGCATCTGAATAATTCTGAAATCCGGTGTTTTTCAGAATAGATTCCGGAATTTTTCAAAATTGTTCCCGGAAGCTTTCAAAAACGATTCTTGTATTTTTCAAAAAATAGGCCGGACACGTTCAAAAACGCTTCCGGATTGGATCATTGTTACTTCTGGGGAATTATCCATGCCATGGGCTTCTTATTTGCGCTAATTAGCAACCCATCGCTAATTAACGCATATACGTATACGCGTATCTACTAATTAGCGTGTAGCCAGCTCTAAAATTAACGGGCGCACGCTAATTAGCAAGTGTACGCGCAAATCATAGCTTGTTGAATTGGCGAGTAGTACGCGTTCATTAGCGCGCGTGGTTTAGTGCGGACGACGTCGCTTTTGAGCACAGGCGCGCTTTTTGTTTCGCCGTTATAACCATGAGCGCGGCGCCGAAGCCCGTGATGTTTATCCATGTTCATAAATGCCATTCCCACGAAGGCGCACATGCAAGAAGTCAGGGCCAGCAGAGAGAGAGTCAGAGAGAGAGATAGGAAACGAGGACGTCGAAATAAACAACAGGACAACCAAGAGAGAGACAGAGAGCTAGGGAGGATAATTCGCAGCCGTCTTCAAATGCGTTTTTTTGGTGTTGTTTTTTTTCTGTTTCGCAGCAGCGCTATCGCACGCGAACCAAAGGCTCCATGCGGAACCTGTCCATAACATTGGCAGAGAAGGCCTTTGTGGTCATCGGGGCGCCACGCCTCCGTGAGATCCTGCTGACGGCCCCTCCAAAATCCTCGTCGCGGTAAGTCCAAGTAGCTTTCGGGTCAGATTCCCGGGCGAGGTGCACGAAAAGATTGAGTTTGGGCTTGCACCTGAAGAATGCACGGTGCCGCTGTGCGAGTGCGGAAGAAGACCGGTTCAACAGACGCGGTTCAAAAGGGACCGGTTCAACAGACGACCAGTTCAACAGACACCGGTTCAACGGGCGACCAGTCCAGCAAGGACCGGTTCAACAAAGACTGGTTTAACAGGACCGGTTCCGCAGAACCGGTTCCACGGAGCCGGTGCCACGGGGCCGGTTCTGCAGGGCCGATGCCGCAGAACCGGTTCCACAAGCCCCGCTCCACAGGACTGGTTCCGCAGGGCCAGTTTCACAGGGCGGGTTCCACAGAGGCGATTCTTCCTGCCACTCTCTCTCGCACTGCTGCTGCTGTTGCTGCTGCTGCTCCTCCCCCTCTTTTTCCTACTCCTCATCCATCCCTCTCTGCCCCCCCGCCCTCCCCCATCCCTCGTTGCCGCTGCGCCCCCCCGCCCCGCATCCCTCATCCCTCCCCACTCCCCCCCCCTCTCCTCCCTCATCCGTCATCGAGGGCCGCCCGCCCGACCCGCCCTGCCCGACCCGACCCGGCCCGCCTCGCCCGTTGCGGCCCGCCCCCCCGCCCCGCCCCGCCCGCTAGAGTGCTCGCGCGCCAACTCGATGGCGCATCGCACTTATAAATGCCCCGCCCGCCCGACCCGACCCGCCCCGTTTGCGGGGGCCCGCCCGCCCAACCCGACCCGCCCCGCCCGTCAGGGCCCGCCCGCCCGCCGGACCCGCCCCGCCCGCTAGGGCACTCGCGTGCCATTTCGACGGCGCGCCATACTTTAATGTCCGCCCGGCCCGACCCGACCCGCCCGTTTGGGCCCCCCGCCGGGCCCTTCAGGCACTTGCGCGCCGATTCGATAATGCACCGACCCGTCCCGCCCGTCAGGCACTTGCGTGCCGATTCGATAATGCACCATTATTTGATGTCCCGCCCGCTCGACCCGACCCGCCCCGCCCGCGAGGGCCCGCCCGCCCGACCCGACCCGCCCGCCCGCCCGCCGGACCCGCCCCGCCCATCAGGGGGCTCGCGCGCCAACTCGATGACGCATCATACTTTAATGTCCCGCCCGCCCGACCCGACCCGACCCGCCCGTTATAACGTCCGCCCGACCCGACCCGCCCGCCAGGGTCCGCCCGCCCGCCCGACCCGCCCCGCCCGTTAGGGCACTTGCGTGCCAACTGGATGGCGCACCATATTCTAATGTCCGCCCGACCCAACCCGACCCGCCCGTTAGGGCCCGCCCGCCCGACCCGCCCCGCCCGTCAGGGCACTCGCGTGCCAATTCGATGATGCACCATAATTTGATGCCCCGCCCGCTCGACCCGCCCCGCCCCGCCCGCGAGGGCCCGCCCGCCCGGCCCGACCCGCCCCGTCCGCCCGCCGGACCCGCCCCGCCCGTTACTTGAATCGATGTTGCGTTTCCTATGTGCTTCGCGCGGTTATATCTACATGTAGTTAACATATATGTTTGGTATAACTTCAGTATAACTTTGTTAACATGCATGTAACGTGCTGTTGGCGGTTACATCCACAGCCACGCACATAGTCAAGTTTGCTATGCCCCAGCCCCCCGTGGCCTGACATAGTATCGTACTTGCGCTAACCTTGTACTTCGGATCACAGGGATAGCGTTATTAGGTTACCGTACTTAGCTAGCTGGATCCTAACTGACTTAGGGGGGCGGGGGTAACTAGGTTACCGTTGAAGTTAGTAAGTCTGCCGAAGTGGCATATATGTGCCATTTCGGCATCAACATACATCAGAATTGGTATCATAAGAAGCTGTGTCTGCTTGATGCAAACCCTTGTGAGAAAAAAAAACTACATGCAGCATTCGTGGGGAAATCTCAAGCGGAAGTACCGTTCCTTAGTAAGTTGTGAGGAGATCCCAGGTGGGAGCGCAATTCCTGAGTAAGGAGTATAGGAAGTCTCGGGCGGGGGGCAGAGGACGCAGGAGAAGGGGGAAGGGGCAGTGAGAAGGAGACATTGGCATTGTGACAATTTTGGTCCAGCCAGGCTTTGCTTTCAACTTCCACCGAACATGATGTTCGGTATTGCAGCGTTTCTTGTCCATATTCCATATCTGAGCACGGCCACCTCGGCGATGTTGGAGAAGGCCGTTGATGACGTGACCCCTGATGTGACTGCAGTGCTGCAGGCATGCGACGGAGTTGATGCCAGCGAATGCGCCTCGCAGATTGTTGCTGCAGCTGACAAGCTCTGCGACACCCTGCTCGAGAAGAACCTCGCATACAAGGACAGGGTGCGCTGCGCGCGCATGGCGCCGCATAGCCAGAATAGATTCGGCACAGGCGTCGACGTTCTCGACGTCCATGATCTTCTTGGTTGCATCGTGAGGACGGGCTGGAGGTGGAAAGAAGTCGGCCATGCCATCGCTTTCGAGAAAGCCCCCGATGCCGCAGGCGCTAAGCAGATGGACGATATCCGCGAACTCATCGCTGCGAGCGAGGGGGCGCTGCCCCCGTGGTCTGATACCGACATCGTCGGACTGACTGTAGCGTGTACTCATGCGACGTCGGGGTTGGCATGCTTGCACTACGAGACGAAGACGGACCAGGAGGACCTCGCTGGCAGCGACGGGCGCATTGACAAAGCAAAGGTGCTGGCGATGTGCCCCTCCATCCAGGATCCGCTCGAGCGCGGCGTCGAGTATTTGATCATCAGGAGCTGCGTGGAGAAGCGATTCCCGTCGCTTCCACACTTCTTGCAGGAGGCGGGGAACGCGACGCACGCGGCTCGCAAGCAGCAGACGCGCGTCCAGACACTTATGCAGGTGCACGCCAGGATCCTCAAGAACACCCAGCTGACAGGTGACCCGAATATGCCGAAGGTCGCGCTGGCCATCGAGCGGACCAGGCCATGGTTGAAGGACCAAGTTGAGGACATGTGCGACTACGTGGTGAACTTCTCGGGTGGAACGTCGCCTCGGTATTAGTTGGATCTGGTAGACTTTGCGAAAGGTTTGAAGGTCAGGCGCGACATTGACGGCACG